ATCAGATAACATGTTTGGATTCCTTCTTCTTGAAGGAAAGAACTCAGCTGCGGCTCATTGTAATAGTTTTTTAATCTTTTCTTCTTCTTCCAATTGATTTCCTCTCTCCAAAGACACAAGAGGGGAAGGATGTCTAGTTACACTTTGTCATCTCACAGACTTGAAGCAGGCACTGATTACAACACAGTGCTCAGCATCACCAAACTGCTTTTCTTGTCCCTCTGCTCCTGCATTCAAGCAGAGCAAGGGAACAGTCCCACTCTACTATCCTGCCTGAGGTCATCCTGTTGTCACGCAAATGAAATTGATGCAGTCTAGGAGGAAAAGAGATGCAGAAACAAAGCCTAGTTTTCCTCACCTGCACAGACTGCCAGGCTGCTCAGACTGATTTATTTGAAACATCTAGGGTACTGCCACCAAATTTGCCATAACACCTTTCTTTAAAAAAAAAAAAAAAATGAGGGTTTTTTTCCAAAGCCAAGAGCATTTGCACTGGGAATTGTTGTATCCAAGAAAACTGAAGCAGTCTGGACACACCTCTCATACCTTGGGCTCAGGACTCTGCTGTTATCCAGCTTTTTCTGCTCTTTTCCCTTATTCTCAGCAGTGGTCTATTTAGGCTCTCTGACCTTTAACCAAGAGAGTTTTTGGGCCCATAACAGAAAGTATCATAGTATGACACGAGAGTGATTACAAACCCTGAACCCATTATGCAGCATATGCATAGTTGAATAATCTAAACACAGTCCTACCAAACAAGCAAAAAATCAGCACAGAAGGCCAACTCAAACCTCCAGAAAGATGCATAAAGCAAGCACCTGAGGGCTGTCTGATCCCTCAAACCTCTGTGCAGCGCTATGTCTGACCACTCCTAGAAAAAAAGAGCGTTTAGCACTCCTGTTAGATACACTATAGCACTGTGGGGAACCCATTTCCAAGCCCCTGTTAGCTCACCATTCTGCTTTGTTACCCAGTACCCTGAGTTTGATATGATTTGAAGACAGAAGAATGAATAAGAATCTAGATAAATGAAGAGTCAGTGATAGAGTCGAATGCTAAACACAAAATCTTTACACTTACTTCCACAACAAGCCTGTGAAGAAGATTAAAACACTCCAGATTTTTCCCTAGCCTGTTCTTATTCATGGAAGAGGGAATTCTTATGAGTTTTGTGACTGGTCAGAGAGCAAATAAGAATAGGGTACACCTGCCATGCCTTTCCAAGAACATGGCAAGCCTTTGAGTGAATGGTGTGTTTTGGAGAACTGAAATGATTCAGATTTGACTAATAATTTTCAACAGAGATGACTCGCAAATATCTGAAGGAAAATCAAAGCATTTAATTTTATATATCTATATTACGAGTTGCCAGAATTTAATTAAAATCTCCCAAAGGTAATATTTTGCCTTTTGTTCTCTATTTGTTAAATACAAAAAATAAATGTATGGTCAACATGTGGAGGAGGAGAAAAAAAATCCTAGTGACCGTTCATTACTTAATCTTTCACGACCACAAGTTCTATTATTGACTTAGAACATCACTGCTCCCTGACTCCCTGCTGACCAGGGCTTTCATTCTCCTCTGCAGCACATCCCAGAGGCTCATTTTCCCCAGCAGAAGGAGTAAGCAAAAATGCCAATAGATCAAAACAGTTCTGCATGTTATCAACTGCAAAGACAGGAAATTCAGGACAACCTCAGCTGTAATAAAAGAGGAACAATAGTGATATGAATATCTTTGCCTCTTATATGATAGCATGAATCTGCTATGCAATAAGCTGAAAATATGAGAACCCCCAAACTTGAATCTCTTCCAAGAAAACTATTTTTAGTGGAATATGTTTAGTTTGTTAAAGATTTAAACCCAGGAAATAATTGCAGTTACTCTCCTGCCTGATTGAAGCAGGCAACATTTATTAATGTACAGTGACTAAATAAATTATTCCAATGTAAGCCACAAAAACTTAAAGTGATGAAGGAACAGGATGATATCCTGCCTAAAAAAAGTCAACCCTGTGCCTGTGGTCTAAGTAAGATCTGCTCCATGATAAACAGTATATTGAGACAGACTGGAGGGAAGAGAGCTGCAAGAAGTTATGAAAGGAAATTTGATTTGTCCCTCTGAAGGGAAAGTGGTAAGTGACTAATCTGAGCAAACTCTGTCACAGATTTTATAGACCTAATTCTTTCTTGCAGGTCTCCAACCAGCAGATGGCTTAGATTAAGTCCATGCAAGAGCTGAATTCAGACTGGCAAAGAGATTCATCGGTGACCAAACCCATGATCCATGTTGTTATTCTGTGTTCACACTTACACATTAAATCAGAGTTCAGTGTCCTGCATATCTACTCTTTACATTGTCCTAATTGAGCAGCGAAGTCCACTTGCTCTGTTTTGCAAGTGTACAAGCTCTTTGGCGTGAGATAGGGTATAACCACCCTGTGTGCTGATGGTGAAGCTAGGTCGCTTTTGATGGCAATATTCAGAACACTGGGAATACCCAGACATTTTTTGCTCCATTATTTTATACTGAAGAAAACAAACCTACAAATAGATCTACCTGCTTCAGCAATTTGTGCAAAACACCTCATTAAACAGCAGTACTTTTTTCCCTAAAGAAGCCTGCTTCATATCCAATGGGTAAAAGGATAAATGGCTATAGTCTTTGAATACACAAGACTACACAGACTGGCTATTTCATAGCTGCACAAAACCCATAATTGAACTTCTGCCCTAGGGGTAAGTTTTCCGGCGGGGGTCATGTTCTTTGTCAGGAAAGCAGAACTTCACATCCAGTTAATTGTTGTTCCAAGCTGTCTTTTTTTTGTTGTTGTTGTTGGGTTTTTTCCACTGAGGCTAGTTTTCCAACAGTCATTCAAGCAAATGTGCTCATTTCCCAGTTCCCCCGCAATTCCCCACCACAGTGTAACAAAGTGCAGATTTTGCATGGCTACATTCCAGGCTTCGTGGTGTTAAAATCATAGCAGCAATGGAAAAGCATGTAGCTGCAGTAGTCATAAGGTAGGACTTGAGCTACAGGTGACTCAGTGGTAGTCAAACAGATGCTGTATGAAAATAGATTGGTTTCTGTGTACAGACTGGTTAACCCATGGAGTTAGTACTTACACATGATTATTTCCATGGTTTGTTAAGCAGCAAAAACTACTCAGTCTGAAGCAAATTGGTGACCTCAATTCTGTTCACTGTGTCTGGGTGTCCATCTCAGAACACAGTGATCATGAACAGCAAGCTCCTTCTGCCTTAATTACTTAAGGCTTCATCTTTGGTGTCAGTCAATCAAATATAAAAAGGTAAAGGCCATGTCCATCCAGTATTTGGATCTCTTCAGCTTAGTGGTGAAACATCCACTGCTTTGGGATGGATCAACAGGGGCTGAGAGAGGAAAGCTTAAGCCATAGTCTGCTGCAGAACAAACTGAAAAAATTGCAAGGAAGTCAGTGGATATTATAAAAGCACAACACAAGTCCTTTATTTTCCTCAAAGGATTAACGATAAACCCTTTCATGTGCATTTGCAATTTAAGTCCCCTGTTATCAGGGACTAGCTACCATCTATTTGGGTTCAGTTGGCTGAAGAACTTCTTGGAGGAATTCACAGTTCAGACTGTTAAGCAACTGACCAATAAACACTCAAGACCAAAGTCTTGGGAAGGATTTTACACTGACTTGCTCAATTTGACCAATAATAGCTCTGGAAGAGGCAGTTTCAGTCCACTGTACTTGTGCTTTCTGGACTGCTCACCAATGCAGATACAGTCCTACCTAAATAACCTTTACCACTCTCTCTTCCCTCAGAAAACAACCCACCTGCTTTAGTTCACAAAGATCCCTTGATTCTTGTGATAAAAAGACATTTGACTTTTACAGCAACCCACTCCTAATCTCTTTGGTGTCTGTTCTCTGGATTTCCCCAGCAGGGAAACCCACACTGTTCTGTGGGCTTCCTGGTAAAACTTGTCACTGCCTGGCAAATCTATGCTGTAATCTTAAAGGTCTGGAGCTGGATATTTGGAGCTCAGTCAGCACCTGGGCCTTGTAAGGCCATATTTTCCCCAGACAGCTGTATTAAATTTGTGGATGATCTGAAAACTACTTTTTAAAAATCATTAGTTGGTAATCAAAAAACAAAGGTGAAATACATAATCATCAAAACACTTCTCATGTGAACATGATTCTCCTCAGCTTCTGTCAGACCAGCAAGCAAATAAGCTGTGCCAAGCCGCCTTCTCTTTGGGGATTTGAGCCAAGATTTGGACCTCCTGATTTGCTAGCATAGAAAACACCCACTCGCATTCCCCCTTGCAAGAAGAGGTCAAGGAAAACTTGCTACCCTGTGAACTTTCAGGAAATATTGCTGAGCAGCATGTGCCCATGCCCCTTTCTATGCTGAAACTTCACCAGACAATTTCTTACTCTTATTGCTGCAATTAACCTTCAGAGAACATTATTAACTACAATCTTATGCATATGATGAATTAGTCCAGATTATTAGAAATTATGTTCTTACCGCAACTCTACAGATGTTTCTCCTCCTTAGATGAAATCCTGACCCCAACCCCACAGCCTGGTAATGCTTGTTCACTTAAAGGAAAATTATCTCTAACACATACAGAGGTGACCACATTTTCTTCCTTAAGTGGAGCACTGGAAATTAAAAAGTCCTCTCCTCACCCAGTGCTGCTCCTGAAAAATCCTGCAGAAAATCTGGAACAATACCTGTAAACTGAACAAATATGCTAAACGCTAAAAAAAAAAAAAAAACAGAAAAAAAAAAAAGCAGGGACAGCATCATCTCTGTCACACTGACATGAGAGGATGATAGGCTTGGATAAGGAGTTTGGGCCAAGGAAAAGAGGAGGGGGGAGGGAATCAGCCTCTCTGGGGATCTGTGCTTGGCTCCTCTTTGTACAGTGCCTGCCCTCCAAGCATGAACCCCCACCCAGCCCCACTGCCCCCCAGTCAGTAGTATTTCATACTCACCATGTCATAAACATTCAGAATCACTGGTTCATTTGCCATTGTTGATTGCAGTGGAGGCTGGATTAAAACCTTTCAGTCCCTGCCAGATGTGTGTTGCTGCCCCCAGGGTATGCTTTTACCCTGAGCCAGATAGAAGAAAATGCCTCATCCTACAGTCGCTGAAGGAAGGAGGAGAGGAGGGAATTCTCAAGGTTGGGTGTGTGTGTAAAGTTGGTTGCAGGGAGGCAGGAAGGCCTGGATTGGGTTTGCTGGTTGTATAGGGTTTATTTTAGCCCTCCACGCCGTGATAGATCCAAGGTTTCTTTTTAACTCTGTAGTGCACCTGGGGGTCTGTAGACTCATACACCACTGTAACCAGGCACCGTCCGAGCTCTTAAATCCCGATCCACAGAAGACAGATTCTGAGCCCAAATACAAACCCTCTTCTGGAGCCGTGAGCAAGGTGGGTGGCAGTGCGTGCGGGGAGATTTCTCGGCAGAGCTGAGTGCCGCTACCGCAGGGGGCTACCAGCAGTACGCAGGAACCCGGGGCACCAAGGCACGCAGCGGGGCTGGAGCGGACGCCGAGCTCCCGAGCTTCCTCCCGCCGGCGGAGCCCGGAGACACCGCGGGATCTGTCCGTGGTGCTGGGGCCGGTCCGCCCGGAGCCGGGATCTGCCCGCGGCGCTGGGGCCGGTCCGCCCGGAGCCGGGATCTGCCCGCGGCGCTGGGGCCGGTCCCGCTCAGGCACTCGGCTGAGGGCTCTCCGCTGCTGGCAGGACATGGCGAAGAAGCTGTGCCAAAGGGACTCCAGCGCGGGGCTCGGCGGTGGGAGGAAGAGGAGGAGGGGGCTGGCTGCCCCCGGGGCAGAGAGGGGATGCCGCAACCCCCATCCTGCCCACGACGTGCAGGCAGACCTGGCGTCGGCGCCGAAGTTAGAAGGCAGTTCTTCGCGGGAAATGAGGCAGGATTAACCGGACTGGGGCTGAAGGGAGGACGATGCCGAGCAGACGATGCTTCCAGGCTGGGTACGGGGCTAGGGCTGGACACTCCAGCTCTCTGTGCTCTGTTCTCCGCAGGGCCAGTCCTTATTTCGCGATCAGCTTGTCCCGAACAGAGCAGCTCCTACTGACTGACAGCCGAGGGAACCTACCCCGTCCCCTGCTGGCTGGATGCATCCCTGCATGGCACACGAGGGGAGGGCGGGGAAGGGACCAAGCGACTGGGCAGGGCAAGTAGTTTCACTTCTGGCAGCAGCAGGGTCTGGAGTTTTTTTCCTGGAGCGACTTTACACTCGGGTTCGGACCGTGAAGCTCTACAATGTCTTGCCAGCAAACACTCCTGTCTGAACTGGATGAGAGAATCAATTATAAAATGCACTGCGGTAAATTCATCTTCCTTTTGCTCCTCCTCTCTCTTTAAAGGGAGAGCAGAGTCTGTGATGGTGCTGGGAAAGAGAGCAGCTGGGAGAGAGACCAAGGATTTCCTGCTCCCAGAGATTTTCAGTGGTGTGGAAATTAGCACTCTGACCTTAAACGTTCATACACAACAGATTTCTGAAACGGGAGGGGAAAAAAAAAAAAAGCTGCGATGACCTCATCTGAGGAGGAGGCGTGTCTGAGGCTGAGGCTCTCTGCCAGCTCGCAGCCAACCAGATCTGAATGAAAATTGCAGGGAGCATGTTACATCAGCAAAGCCCAGCATGCCTCAGCCCTGTCTTCAGCCACATGGGAAACATCCCGTCCGGAGAAGGGCTCACCTCCCTTGTCAGGAGCAGAAAGACAAGACCATAGAGCTGCAGCCTTGTAAAAGACTTGTTATACAGTGAGCAGGAGAATTTCTAGTGAAGGCGGGCAGTAGGAAAAGGAAGCGAGTCCATGTCCAGCATAGCTAAGTGCCAACACAACAAAGACAATTTTTTTTCTCCAGACATTGCCAAAGGAGATCCATAACTGCTTTGCCCTAGTATGCATTCTGAAAGTGCAAAGCCACGGCTCAGGCTTAGGCATGATGACACGCAACATGGCAGGGACCCCAGCACTGTAATTTCATCTGGACTAGTCATTCCACAGGTGGGCTGGACAACTTCACACACATGGTACGGGGACTTGGCCAGCACCCTGACTTCCCCCCATCCCTAGCTCTCTACCTCACCAATTCTAACTGTGCCATTAACCATTCGTCTCAGCAGCCTGCATCTGAAGGAGCAGCTTGTGCAGGTGGGTAAAGGTGCTTCCTCCTCCTTACCATCTCAGAGTCTAGATACTCCTCAGAGGATAGACTGAGCCCCCACTGTCATTTTAAAGGCTATGGAGCAATGGAGATCTTGCTCTGCAAAAAGCTAAGCTGCATGGTTCATGCCCTAACTTGTGAGACAAACCGCCTACTGAAACACAGAGGCTCCTGCTAAACTGTCACAGATACCCCAGACTGTCACTTTGGGATATGCGTCCTGCTCTAGAGATGGTGATGTTTTAAGGAGACTTGAAAGGAGGGGGAATAGCAGATATTAGACTGATGTAACTAGAAAAGAAAAGCAGCACTAAAAGGTCTTCCCACACTTACCCACATGCTTATTTGCTAAATTAACTCCGGTGACTGCTATGCTCAGAGTTCACTAAAATCAATTAAGACTTAAATCAGATACACATTCCAGAGACAGGCATCTACAAATACTTAGGATTTGGGAAAGGTGACAGGCAGCCACAAGCTTCAATGTTTTGTCAGGCAAACATTTCAAAATTAATCACCTGGGGGAAAAAAAGATGACTAGAATTCCACTTCTAAACTTTAGAGCTAGAAGAAAGGGAGAATTAAAACCAAAACATGTCTTTAAACTAATCATGTTGTTTCAAGAGATCAAAGCCAGTCTAAATGTGCATTTGTTATTTAAAGGACTTCTGCTGTAGGAGAGACAGTAAATGTCACTTGCACATTAAGACATGGATTCTCTCCCTCTAACTTGAAACAACGGTGAGAACTACATTACAAATGTCATTGCTTCAGGCTCCCTTTTTGCCCCTTCACAGAAAGAAGTTGTTCCACATTGTGACTTAGCCTCATCAGTGTTTCAGTGATCCTTTGAAAATTCCTTTTTTTTATGCCATTCTACTCCAGACAACTTATTCCAGCTCCAGATAGAAGGGATCAGTCTGAATTCAAAGATCTCATTAATATGAGTTGTTTTACAGTCACATAAACTCTTCACAAGGCTTGGTTTGCTTTGGGCTGTGTTGAAATGTTTCATCAACAGCTCAGGCTGATGCCAGTTGAGAAAGTGAACTGCTCTATTTCAGGAGCATGAGTACAATCCCACAGATAGCCTTGCTGCCTATAGGCACCAGAGCCCATATCTTGTGTTGTAAAAACATTACAATATAAATGAATTGCAGATACAGAGAAAAGGTCAATTCTTCTCACTACTCATTAGAGCAGCTGGAACTAAAGCCTTGGGTTGTGTTTTGAATTCTTCTTTTAAGCACTTATGCTGGTTTTAGGAAAAAGCTGACACACTTTTTCCATACACCTAAAGCTAGACAGCACCTTCATTCACATTTAAGCAGCCTGTTGCAAGCTCAAACTTTCTCAGACTCCCCACATTCTTAGCACTCCCTTTAAAGGGATTCACATATTTGAGTTCATCTGAGATCATCCCCACTTACTATTATGGTATGAGTGCATCCACAAGGATCAGTGTCTAGAGGAGATAATGTAAAAGAGGTGAAGAGAGTTAAAAGGAAATTAGTGCTGCTACCCAGCATGGACTAAAAAAACAAGAATTAGGTGCAACATTAAGGAATTATCTGGTACATTAAGCAAGGCAGTCAGTCAGTAGCTGAGAACTTCAGCCACCTCCTCCAGGTCACAGTCACAAAAGTGGCATTGCTGGGCACTGTAAACAGAGCCGAGACATTCCACTGGGGACAAGAACAAAAGAACAGTAGTGCGACAGAGAAATAATGGCTGCATTAGAGGTGATGGTCTATCTGCAAGTTTGTCTGCTTGCATTGCTATTCAGAAATTCTAGCTAAAATTAACATTTTTCCTTAATCTACCCTCATGCACTTTCAAAGGCTCAGAAGCAACTCAGCAGACAATGGGGCTTTCAAGTATGTTTCACAGCAGGGCTGCCCAGTTTAAACCTCAAGACACTTAATGGTCTTCTCTTGACATCAGGTACACCACCCCAGCTGTCCATTATATTTTTTGACAACTTGTAATTTTGAATTGTGTAAAGTGCTTCTACGCATGTCAAATTGCCATTATTATCCTGTTCTGAGTACATTAGCAAGACTATCCTCCTTAAAGAAAATATAAAATGGCCGTTGAAAAACTAGAGACAGTATTTTTTGAGATCCTTGAGAATGGTGGAAGGTATGCAAGAATGAAAAGGGAGTTGTAATTCCTGCCTTCCATCTACAGGAATAAATCATCACCTGGACGGGTGCTGGAGCTTTGTAACCTTATTCTGGGTGTATCAGAAGAGGTATTTTGATTAAGGAGTTTAATCTCACTTCTAACTGAGGCACTTGCAGATACCAAGGATCTGACAGATTCTAGTCAGACCTGAGTATGGGCTATGGGAAAAAATGGGGAGAAAACATCAGCACAGGATGCCAGCAATGTGCTTTTCCCTTGTGTAAGGTAGCATGTGAAATATTTAACTTCTTATTGCACCACAAAGGGAAAGAATAACACTCAAACTGGATTACTTCAATACCTTAAAAGGTTTCATCCAAGACTGTGGGGATTTGTAGCTCAAAGTTAGGTGTGTGTTAGTGGAAGGGGGAAACAAAGTTAATACTTGCATTTAATTCTTCATTGAGTCAATCCTGATTTTACATTTCATTTCCCTTCTCATTCACAACTTTTTAATATAAAGCTCCTTGTCAGGGAGCAATGAAGGCTGACAGCTCCTAACATGACTGACAGGGCAGGGTTTCTCCCCTCTGCAGGTCTCTGTCCTACAGGCCATGAGCAAGGTGTGCAGGGCAGGCCTGCAGATGACCACCACGTTGAGCCACAAGTCCAGATCATCAGGCAAGTTTATAAGAGTAAGTCAGGTCTAAGGTCAAGCCAGGACATCCACCCATGGATCAGGCCCAGCAGAGCAGAGCTGGAGACCAGGATCCCATCTATGTCACAGGGGCATGGCCCCAGGCTGGGCTCAAATGGTGCTCCTGGGCCATGGAGAGGCCCCAGGGGAGAACAGGACTGTCTCTTCTGCTTACATAAAGCAACACGGTCAAGTGAGAACCAAACAATGTACACAGAGACTTCCAACCTGGACACCAGGATGAAAATTCCAAACATCCCTACGCTAAGGATTAGGGAAGTAGTTGTTTTTATTATTGCTATTAAAAATTCACAGTGCAAACTATCACAGGTCAGAAGCAGCGAACAGATGCAGTTAAAGGGACAGTACACAGTAATTTGTGCTGTATTTCTGGGAAGCAAAGCAGGCTTAGTTTCACAGGGTTTTTCCACAGCAACATCTTCACATTATTTATTTGCATTGTGTTATAATAACGTTTGGAAGCTGTGGCAGGGGGCAGGGATCCATGCACTGGACACTGGATGAATACAGAGGAGAAGAATACACCTACTTAATGAAAAGTGGTAATTAAAGAGATGTGACAGGCAAATGGCAAGAGAAAAGATACATCATTAGCCCCACATCATAGAGATATGCAGAAGCAAAGTGATCAGACTTCAGCCAAACAACAATCTGCTATATAGTGAGGACCAAAGAGAGCTAAAGGGAGGTGCAATACCACACTTGTAAAGAAGACAGGAATGTATGTCATAAGATGCAATCCAAAAACCCACAGTCTGCTTAACCCTGAATGTGTCTAAGCTGCCTCCCTTTTGGACCAGGGCAATGTTTGTTCTGCTGCTGAGCCTGCCCAGAGCTACCCCAGCTGAGACACTGTGCTTCTCCACTCCTCTGAGTCTGACAGAGGCCCAGGAATCAGCACGGTGGCATGAAATCCCCCAGATCACTCAATCTGCCTGATTTGCTCTGATGCATCCTACTGCATTGAACACAGCATCTTGAAAAAAAATGCTCCTTCAAAAACACCCTGTTAGGGTCACTGAATGCCTTTGGTAAAATCACCTGTTAGTTAGATTAGAGGGAACTGGAAGCC